TCAAACTCCCGCCTAAGAAGGGCCCGCTCAGCCACCAACGGCTAAATCTTCAGGAGAAGAAATATTCACTGTCTCGGATGCGAGTGATGTCCCACTCTCCTTTCTCAGGTACCTCGCGGAAGCGCAATGGCAGCCAGAGCCAAGTGTGAATAGCACCGCGCCTTTTCTTCTTCGGCTCGTCAATCTCATCTAGATCGGCCTCGGCGGCGGCGTCTTCGGAGTTCGCCTTGGGGCCAAGAACATCGTCAAAATCGGTCATCAGGCTCTCAATGACCGGATCCGAGGGATCCGTTTCCATTCCTGAAGTTTTCCGCTCTGCTGCCTCCAGATTCTCCGGGACATGTCCGACAACGGTTTCACCGAGCGAGCTCGAAATAGAAAGATCCTTATCGGCACCGCCAGCCTGCTCAAAGATACTAGCGGGAGTGACCATTGCGCGTCCCTGGGCTTGCAGTTCTGGATCGTCCGATTGCAAAAGCTTTTGTCTCTTGTACTCCTCCAAGAGTTCCTGCACCTTAGCCGATTTGTGGTTTGCATGTCTGCGGTGAGCTCGGATAGTCTTTCCAATCTTACTCGAGATATTGACTTTCGCGAGGAACAGATTTTTGCCGTAACGGACTTCAAACTCCGCCGCGAGCCTCTTCACAACATCATCGGAGTGCATGCGAACGAAAGCCTCACGGAGAATATTGTTCATAGAATCGACGTCGCAGGCATGGGTCCAGAAGGAGTCATGGACCGCCGAAAAGCTAAGACCAGCCCGGTCGCAGGCAATAGCTGATAACATCATGTGGGTAGCGTCGAGAGAGTGAATAAAATTAGGTGGGAAAGCCTGGAGTTGCTTGCGCTTGGAAACAACATCATCAGAGCCCATATCGACAATGCTCAAATCCTGTATGGTAGTACGAACGCGTCGAGACTTTCGAACACGGTAAGGCTGGACAACAGGTAAACCTAAAGGAGTGGTCCAAATCACAGTGGATCTGAACTTCTGAGCTGGGTCGCTGGCTTTCTTTGTCGACCCTTCAGCCGATTGTGTAGGGCTCAAAGCTTCTTTTGCAATTTCTTCGATCTGCTCAGGAGAGAGAGATTGCGTGATTCGACTTGCGCAGTCTCCAAGCCAGTATTGGATTTCATGAGCTCCATTGAACATTGTGCCTAAAGCCTCAAAAATCTTCCGAGCAATGTACAACGAACCACTCTTCGTTTCATCGGCCGAAAGCTCCGGGTAATGATCAACAAGTTGTTTGCGCACTTGCTTCATAGCTCCCATAAAAGTGACGCCATAGACGTTCGTCATGACAGTCTGCTTGACAATCTTACGGGTGATCTTTCCGTCCAGCAACTTCGCAATTGGGGCGCCCTCTTTGGCTTCACGTGCGACAGCTTCCTTAACAAATTGGGCGACACCAGAATATACATCGGATGGGCGGTCGGACGGCTCCAAGTTCACTTGCTGAGCGCCCACCTTATCACCACCAAGCGCTGCGTAGTGTTGCAATCCATTGCACGAGCCATCTTGATGGATGGGTAGTCGCGATGGATATTGAGTAGGATCCGGGTGCTGGAGAGCGTTTCTCAGCTCACAGCAGGCGGCTAAGCATTGCCATGGATCCTCTGCGTCAAGCCACCACCGTCTGCCGTGTAAACCTTTGTTTGCAGAATCAAGAACATCGTCCAAGTGATCCATTGTCCATTGTTCACGTTCTGAGAGGCTAGCCTTGTCAAAGCCAGACAAGTTAGCAATCTGAATCTTCAGCCATCTAAGGCCACGAGCGCCCAGCGGCTTAGCTTCACCGAAAAGGAGGAGCCCTCTAGCATTGTCCGCACCCATTTGGTTAAGATAGGGTGGAAGCGGGTAAGCACGACCACGGAAATCCATGTTATGGGGAAGATAGAAAGTATCATTTCTGTACGCACGGGCAACTTCCAGTTGGAAGTTTTGAAAGCATCGGTTAGAATGCATGCCGGATCGTCGATTTTCGATCTCACGCATAGCGTTATCCCACTTCTTCTCGGCCGCGAAACCTTCCTCGGGAGCTGGCTTGGGTGGGTGAGGAAGGTCAGGGTTTAAGGGCGCAAGGCTGGCAACGGCTTCTCCTGAGTTCCATGCCTCAAGCATGACCTCGAATACATCGCGATTGATCCTCCACCCAGTTCTTCCAAGAATATTCAGGCCCTCGCGGACCTGTTCCAAACCATTGTTCTCCATCGCTGCTTTGATGTAAGACGGTTGTAGAGTCTCGCCCGGTGTTGCCCGTACAATGTTGCTCTGGTAGATGAAATAACCACCATCCTTAGGACCGTTCCACGGCTTTGGTTTACAAATCATGGGCAACTGACGACCTAGCACATCTGCGGTAGGCTCCCTAGCAACGATCTGAACAATTTCTGGGTGTAAATGAACGTATCCCGACTTCCTCCCCCAGTTGATTTGATAGGAGTGTTGGAATGCGGGCTGCAATGTGGTTGTTTTCTTCTTTGTACCTGGATTCTCCGCTGCGACAGGAACCTTTCCGATATCAAAGAGGAAGCTCATCAAGACAGCACCGACTTTAGCTTTCACCCTAGGGGGCCAGATTGCTGCTGGGTCCTCCTTTTCCAAGTCATGTACAATCTTCTGCCAGGGTGCTCGCCCATCCTTCTGTTTGCGACCAGCAAGAATTTCCCTCAGTGCTTTCATGCGACGGGCATCACTTCCCGACTGCTGTTTTTTAAGGGTCATCTCAGCTATCAGTTCATCTTGAAGGTCTTTTCCAATACCAGTGGCAATTGCAGAGACCTTGATGCCTTTTTCCATTCCTCCACGAGAGAAGGTTGATATAACGGCGAGAATAGTGAGCGCTGCCAACCTTTCCGGGTCTAAACTCCGCAGATAAACTCCGTAGTCATAACGTTCTTTCTGCTCGAAAGTCCTAATTGGATTGGCCTCCGCTTCATCAACAAGCTTGAGTTCTTCTTGGATCCTGGATACAAGTCCCATATGCCACTGATTCATAATGGTACCTAGCTTTTTTCCTCCGCCAGTCATATCTAGCCCTGACTTTTGCATCTGAGTAAACTCTTGCCGCCATCGTTCAAGTGAAGTCCTTATCGAATCCGTCTCTAACTGTCGCTGTCTGAGTTGATTGTATAACTCTAACTTTTCCTCTTCCGTATACTTGGTGTCGGTTGGAAAAGCGACATCAGAGCCAGTGGAGAACATTGTGAGAGAGTCCTGCAAAGACGAGAGACCGAGGCCTTTCTGATCAACAGGCCTAACAGCGGGTATCTCATCTGTGATCGACTCGGGGTTTGTATTGGTAATGTCTGAGTGTATGCTGCCGATCGCAACACGTCGAAGGTCAGACGAACAAATCTAGTGAAAGGATGTGTGTCAGCACCAATTTCTTCTTTCTCGCATACCTCATGACGTTGAAATGAAGGCAAGAATAGGATAGACAAACCTCTGACAGCTCGCCTAGCTCTAATTCCGAAAGAACTGGAACAGCCAAAACCTCCTCTTCGACTCCCGCGGTCTTTGCGAAACTCCAATACCTGCGAACTGCTCTGTCTCGCTTAGCACCATGTAACATACGTAGTGCCATCCGAATCATGATTGCATATGTTCGTGCATCTGGCTGAACACCCCCGTGAGCCATGTCAACTTCGAACCACCTTTGCAAGGGCAAGACCAAGTTGTGCTGCCTTGTTACAACCATGTGTGACACCATCTCCTCCAGATAGCGGTTATGGATGGCCAGATACTCAGGCGAACCGATTGGAAAGTACTCCCCAAGACGGGTTATGAGATTGGCAGCCCGATCCATTCGACCAACTTTCAGGGAGATATCCAAGTTTGCCATCATCTCGTCTTCGTCACCACCAATACCCTTGTGCTTTTTGAGAGCTCTCGGTCTGGTCTGTAGAAGGTCGTCTATGATGATTAAGGATGAAGCATTAAACCCCTTCGAAATGGGTGGGAAAAGAGAAGCCATTTGTGCCTGTTGGTCATACCGGTGGCCGGTTGTGTATGAGGAGTTCTCGAATGAAGGATACGGTGTCTGTTCAACGGCGGAGTGATCTGCTGCCGTGGCGAGATGCCGATATGATTGGAGATATGGCTGACGGGGACGATCGGGAGAAACATTGACAGACGCGTTGGCATAAGAATTAGGGCGACCTAGATGGGAGTGAAACCGCAGGGTGGCCAAAGATGGCGACACCAAACGCCTATTAGAAACCCGGAGATGAGACGCTGCACTTTTCTGACGAGTAATTCGGGATAGCATGATTGAAGAATTTTCGCTGAAGCAACCGGATAAATTAAGAATACGTTGTAGAGGTACGTAAAGAGAGAAGAAAATTATGAAGGAAGGCGAAAATTATGCAAGAACAAAATCATTAGTATGCGAATATGCGCAAAGAGGATTCAATAAATTGACAATGAACTTCCTGTCAGCGGAAGATATCGGCTGATAAGCCGTCCTGCAGCCCTTCACCGGTCTATAAGAGATGGGCAAAGAAAGTATAGGGGTGAAGGTCTGATGAAGGCGAAAAAAGTCGAAAAGCTGCAGTAGTTCCTGGACGGAGAAATCGGGGGAAAAATACTCGGATCCTCAAAGGGGAGATAAGGCACGTGCATTCACGTGACTTGATTATCGTGTTTTTCTTGGACTTCTCATTTGCGGGATCGCGTCCACATTGACGGGTATGCTCTAGCCCTATCAACTTGGGCGGTGGCGATCGTCAACACTTTTCACAAAGCCGTTCAAACTTGTACTTAATTACTACTAAGTATGTACTCATTATTGACCGTCATAAGCTCAGAGTTCTGTGCCTGCCTTTTATAGAGCTCAGGTCCCTGATCAACCAATGCAATAATGCTATCAATCTTATCTATAACATCTTCCGCATACTATCAATTGGCTATACCCGCTAGAACGCTCCTTGCACTTTTGGGAATATTCTCATGATGCCATTCGTAAAGTCTAATTTTTTACACATAAAGAAAAAGTTGATCATTCCTCTTCAGTACTACTCCTAGAAGAGCTCCCTCTTCCATTCTGCTTCATCCGATTCTGCTTCATAGCCCATCCAGTCATCTCTGGGTTTGCCGGGTCAATACGCGGCGCACTCATTTTATCCAGATAATCCTCACTATCGATCGCCGATTCCAATTGCGGTAGATTTTCCAAATCTTGGTGCATCATGTAGCTTTCATATACTTGCCATGACTCCTCAGTCTTAGAGTATCTAGAATTAGCGGAGCCTCTTGAAAGAAACGAAAAGATCGCGTAACGAATACTCACCTCAGCATCGACCCAATCATAGCTACCCCATTTCTCCTCCTGCATCTTCTTCAAAAGATCCAGATTGCCAGCCAACTGAGTTGCCTGGTCATCTTCAGCCGCTTTAACCTTGATATCAATAGCGCGAGCCTCATTTCCACCACCCTCATCATCATCCTTTTTCTTTCCCTTACCCTTGGTGGGAATCTCATCTAACGCATCAAGATGATGAAGCTGGGGATGCACCTGCACAACCGCCGAAACAGGCGACAGATGAAGATTATCTATAAGCACTATTAGCATCCACACGCAACACCAGCAAAGAAACCCAGCGCAGCAACTCACTCCCCCGGAAAGCAGCCAACATATAAACCGGGTCCCCCTCCTCAGGAATCTTAATGCGACCTCCCAGCGTCTGCACCCGTAATAAGGAAGCCGAGTCTCCATTCCCCATGCCACCCATTTCCACATCTCCACCAGCTTCCATCTTCACCTTATTCCCGCTAGCAAGGGAACCGCCACTGAAACCACCTGCCATACCGAATGCGCCGCCCTCTTGCGAGCTGCGACTTTTCTTCAGCGCATCGCCGTACTTCAGGCCTTTATTAACATCATAGTTCATGCGGGTATTGATGGGGACGTCGACTTCGACAAGTCCGGTTTTTGGCTTTAGGCGGAAGGCAGTGGGCCTTTGGCCATGGCGGTCGTCATAGGGGTAGTCTGGTAGTCGGTCGAGATATTGGAGGACGTACCGAGAGATTTCGGAGTCTGTCAGGTAGACGTCGTAGGATGCGATGACGGGGTCTGAGGAGTCCATGGTGTGGATATGGGGCTATGGGCAATGGATGGGTTGGTCGACTAGGATCGTAACATTAGTTTAGTAGTATTCGTTAAATTGGACGGGAGAACAGTATATCGTGGACAATTGACTTCTCTTCTCTTCAATTTTTTTTCCATATCAGGGCGGCGGAGAAGTGGCTGATAAGAGTGGGAAAAGCGGAGTACACCGCCTTCCATTCTAGTGAAAGATAGAACGACATCATATCGTTCTTGGGTCGCGTTTCTTTTTTCTTAAAAGGATGGCACTAATGCCTGTAGTAGTAATACAGGAGGCATTTAAGGCTACAGGCTGCAGATCAATTGGTTTTAATGACGATTATAACGTAACACATAAAGTATAGGGACCGTTACCGGCATCAATAAACTCCCACCGTAGTACATGAAGATTAATGAAACTAGACTTGATCCAATGCTTTTAGACGTCAAGCATATACAGGCATACTACACAGAAGCAAGCGACGATGGCAGCAAATCAAGTCAATAAACCAATGAAACATGGCTCACATGGAAATGGTGGAATCTAAAACAATGCAACTGCAGTAGTAAAAAGGCGGTCATGGCAATCAAAGCGACGTTTAACATAACGCAAAGTGATTTACCCTCTTTTCATCACTAATTTAATCCTTTACTCGTCATCTTCATCTTCAGCAACCTGTTTGATTATGTTAGGTGGAAAGTCTGAATGTATGTGATAGCGAGGGTGAACTTACTCCTTCATGGAAGTTGCGTCCATCAGTAGTTTCCTTAATAACGCCTGCACGAATACACCAGTCTCCGAACCTTTCAGGCTCTTCACCATCTGTATTGCGCTCCAGTGCGTACCGCTTGAGGAGACCCTTCATGATGTCCAAAATCTCATCCTCCTTGATAGAAGAGCGATATAACTTGTTCAGACGTTGTCCGTGGTAGCCACCGCCGAGGTACATATTGTAGGCACCGTATGCTTTACCGACGAAGGCAGCTTCGGCGAGCCAGGGCCTGGCGCAACCGTTGGGGCAACCTGTCATACGCATGACAATGCTGTCTCTAGCCAGGCCCACCTCTTCGAGAGTAGATTCGAGCTTAGAAATAAGAACCGGCAGATAGCGCTCAGACTCGGCCATGGCCAGGCCACAAGTGGGGAAGGCAACACAAGCAGACGAAGAAAGACGCATACCACTGAAAGAGGTGTTATCGAGCTTGTACTTGGCCATCAATTCCTTGATCGCAGGGAGGTCCTCGTCCTTGACGCTGGATAGAATCAGATGCTGATTACCGGTGAGACGGAATTCGCCCTTGTCAAGCTTCGCCAGTTCACGCAAACCGGTGCGCATCTGGAAGTCGGCAGTATCCTCAATTCTCCCGTTCTCAATGAAGAAAGTGAAGTGGTTGAGGCCCTTCTCATCCTTGAGCCAGCCAAAGGTATCAACGTTGGAAGCAAACTTGAACGGACGAGGTTCGGCGAACCGTAAGCCGTCTGGAAGGAGAGCCTCCACCTTCTCCTTGAAGACCTCAACGCCCATGTCATCGATAGTATACTTTAGACGTGCATGCTTGCGGTTCTGACGATCACCGTGATCACGTTGTACCAACATAATCTTTTCACAAACAATGTGGGCCTGATCGGCGGGTACATATCCAAACATGCGGCCGGTCTGAGGATATGTCTTCTTGTTATTGTGAGTGCTACCCATACCACCACCAGCGAGAATATTAAAACCTTCCAAATGTCCGTCGGATCCCTTAATGGCGATCAAACCGATATCGTGTGCATACACATCGGTGTCGTTGTGAGGAGGAATAGCAATGGTGATCTTGAACTTACGGGGAAGGTAAGTAGGGCCATACAGGGGTTCGTTATCGACAACGGCATCTCCTGCGACTTGAACCTTCTTATCATCATCATCCTTCAGCCAAATCTCATGGTAGGCTGTAGTAGAAGGGAGAAGATGGTCGCTAATCTTCTGCGCCACAGCATGGGCCTCGCGATGGTAGAAAGAGAGCTCTGGGAGGGAGCTGCACATGACGTTACGGTTGACATCACCGCAGGCTGCAATAGTAGTCATAAGTGCTTTATTGATAGCACGCATCGCACCTCGGAGGTTACGCTTGATGACGCCGTGGAATTGGAAGGTCTGTCTGGTCGTGAGCTTCATGGTCTCGTTACCATGAGAGCTGCTGATAGCGTCCATTTGCAGCCATTGAGTGGGAGTAGCAACTCCACCAGCAAGCCGACAACGGATCATGAAGCTATAGGCGGGCTCAAGGCCTTGAGCTTTGCGCTCATCGCGCACATCACGGTCATCTTGCATATAGGTGCCGTGGAACTTGGTCAACTGCTGGTCGCTTGCAGAGATAGCACCGGTACTCTCATCCAAAAGGCCCTCAGCAATAGTACCACGAAGGTAGTTAGACTGTATCTTAATGTCCTCGTTTGTCAAAGGTGCAGGCTCTTCAGGAAGACCCTCGACTTTGTCCACGCCCAAGGATTGCCAGAGACGTGGCTCCCATTCAGAGTAACCAGTCTGGTAAGCGTCTGGATCCTGATCGTCACCAAGTCCTATATCCGTGAGCTTACGTCCGCCCAAGAAGGCAACCCGGGCATCAAGGTCCTTGGCAGGCTTGTTATAATAAATCCTATCTTCCTTGCGTGGCCAGTAGTGGCTATCACCAAGACCAAAAACAGAGTAATTGATAGTAGACAAGTCAAGATCTCCAGAGCTTTTTATGAATTCCCACAGACCACGGCCATTGACGGGGAACTCACCCTGGCCCGCGGTGCTGGTGATAAACACCACATTTTCCTCAGTAGATAGATCCTCAGCGGGGTAATCATCCATGGCCATGACCATAGTCTTCAGTCCCCTAGCGCGACCGCGGTTTCCAAGACGCTTTGCCAGGTTTTGGGCATTGCCATTGTCCGACGCGAATAGAATAGTCAAGGGTGCGCCGAAAAGACCTTCGAGAAGCTTCTCATAAGAATCCTTGGCCTTGCGTTTCTGGAGGGTCCGAACCTCAGTGCCGTAAGATTCAGAGAGGGCAGAAGAAAACTTGGGGTGACGGTTCATAAGCTGGCTGAGTTGGTTGTCCCTACGAAGGAACTCTTCAAGTTCACGCTTGAGACGTTCCGAATCCAGAGAGAACTTGGGCTCGTGGTTCTCTTCGTTTCCGGGGTTCCAACGGTACAAAGGCCAGTATCCAAGGTCGATGGCTTTCTTGGTCTCCTGAAGAACAGTCAAGGCAGAGTCATCCTCCTGGTTGTATGGCAGGTATGCAACAACTACGGATGGGCCCTTGAACTGTTCGGCCTCGGCCATAGCTTGGAGAACCTGGGTGTAGGAGCCGTACACGGCAACGGAGGCAACGTAGGCATTACCATAGTTCATGGCATAAAGACCAATATCCTTCTTTCTGCGTGTCGGATCAGCAGCGGTGCGTTCGGAGTAAGGCTGGGAATCGATCACGAGCATGTTAACATTGGCACCGGAGGCAAGGACATGGTGGACACCAGAGTTCCCAAGATCATAGGCCCAGGCATCGGAGCCAACGAGCCATCGGGACTCATCATAGAAAAGCTTCTTGGATTCTAGGAGCTGCTTAGCCAACTGAGAGTCATCCTTTGAAAGGTGATCAATAACATCTGGAGCCAGTCTGTTGGCCTTGGATGCATCTCCGGCATTAAGAGCCCAGTTTGAGAGGGATGTCTTCGAAGCATCTGTGGCAAAGCGACCGGTCTTCGATGCTTCTTCAACCTCCCGCACAAACCGGCGGCGGTGTTCCATCCTCGCAATCAAGGAACCAAATCCATATTCAGGGGTGGCTGCAATGGTGGAGGAGACACCGGCATGCTTCGAGTCCAACTGGTTAGCGATGTGCAAACGCTCCCCGAAAAGCTGGTTTAAGATCTTCAGATAGGCATTCTCGATATGGGGCTGTTCCAAGGCAGTCTCAAGTGTTGGAACCTTGGAGCTACCGACTTCAAGATTCTGGATAGGAGAGGAGGCGTCCAAGTTCTGGACAATGCCGCGGAGTGCCTGAATGGCAGTAGATGGCTCAACGTACCCGAGTCTGTAACCGACAATTTGTAATGCACGTCCGCCAGCAGTGGTAGGGGTCAAGCTTGATAACAGATCCATGAACGAAGGACCCCATTTTGTAGTCTTGCGGACTTGTTCAAGAACGGCGATCTTTTCAACAGAGGCTGGAATGGAGTTCACAATCTGGCCGCCCACCCAGGGTCGGTACAACCGCGCAGTGATAAGTCCGATGTTCTTCAGCTCGCTGGCAGTGTCTTCCTTGGACAGAGCATCTACAAACACGCCGGTAGAGCCAAAGATAAAGAGAGCGGATTTGGCATCCGAAGGACCAGTGTACTCGACTGCCCTGTAGTTACGACCCACCAATCCCGACAAGGTGCGCCAGATCTGAGAAGTCCATTCGAAGATGTCTGCGGCACTGACTGGCCTAATAGAAGAAGCATCCACGGTTGTTGCAGCGGAGCTAGTAGCACGGCTATCAACGCTACTATCTCTTCTTGAGGAGCCAACAGACGAGTTGTCAACACTGACACTCGAAGGTGTCTGAGATGGCTGTGCAGGGGTAGCAGCACCCTCGGGGGTCTTAGTGTTCTCGACAACTTCATCGGTTACGGTGGCCACACGTCCAGAATCAGTGTACAATGTTTGGGCACCGAGCCCGGTGGAGTGAGTAGCATGATGTCCTCCCAAGTTCAGAACACTCTGGATCACATTCACATCCTCTTCTGCGATGGGTTCGTCGAGAGCAGAATTGGCAGGGTCAAAGAAATGGATGACACCTTTTCCGGACTTGCGTGCCAAAGCATGAGCAGTGATAGAGATATCTTGTGCCTCTTGAACGGTCTCAGAGTGCAGAAATGTGAAGCCACATTGCCGTATTGAGCTGATCACCGAGTAATCTGGGAATGGAGAAGGCTCCACGGCGACATGGATGACAATGGGGAAGTTCGCTAAGCGGTAGAGGTGAGGGATAGAAGAGAGGAGAACAGAGGAGCTAGAGACAACAGAAACTGCATCTCCAGTCTGCAAAGGGTGGAAAGCAGAGAGGAGAGGATCTTCATTGTATCGTACTGAGATCACCTGAGGAGCCTGTTAATCCACAGTCCAAGTTTAAACAAGCTGGATTCCAGTATTACTCACGTCAGGTACGCCCTTAGGCAGGATACTGCGCGCCTTTTCTTGCTTGAGAGCCTTTAGTGGCTTGCTAAACCATGAATCTGTCTGCAGGGATGGCTTGACAGACACCACAACGTCGCTAGTGAGATAGGCGACTCTCGCCACTGAGGAGTAAATTAGTATTCCATCACCAGCTTGTAGACAAACAATGACAGCAACATATAGTCATATGTGCGATCAACCAACTAGGGATTGGAGAAAGAATGAAAGAAATAAAATGACTCACCTGCCTCTCCGGCAGTTGAAACGGGCGCCATGTTGGCAATTGCCAGTTGCGCTATGTAGAGCGCAAAGGTGAGATAATACTAATAGTATACAGAGTAGATATCACCGCATACGGTGACTCCACACTCAATTTGAGCTCAATCGATGAGGGGGAAGGAGGGAGAAAGGAAGAAAAGGTGACAGTTTTAAAGACATTTAAAAAATTAGCTTGACTCTTTCCCGTTTATCCTTAAGATTTCCTTCAAAATTAAAGCAACGATTTTGTTCCCCATAGACTTTCTCCGCCATCGGGGTTGGATCAGCAACATTCTCATTGGACTGCGATCACGACATCGATGCAAACGTGCGCAGGCGGTGGGTGCAAACATCCTTAATCGAGTCAAGTGCGGGCAGCAGGTCGAGCACGTCAGTTCTTCAGCGGGCTTTGCTTCGGCAGAATGCTGATAGGTCAGTTACTTTTACTCTGTACGACTCGGATTGATCTTGAGATCTCGTGCAGCCGAACGTGGAAGACATCCACTCATCGGCCTCAAAAACCATTCATAATAAACGCAATTAACATAACCGAAGGAAAATTGCTCCGTAAGACACAACACAACACAGATAATAGAGAAATTTTCTATAGTTGTTCCCTACTTTCCAGTTAGCAGGAGACCGATCGGTATTTGATCATTCGGCTTGTTACGCTCATTACAAAGATAATTTGCTCTCGGGCGAGAGACTCCCGGTGAGGTTAGTGGTCAGCTGAATACTAACAACCCAGTGTATGGTGGATTGAGAACCATTGTTACAGAACCGACTTGTCGTTTCTCATGTAGTTTCCCCAACGGAAAGGAATAAGGCGACAGGCTCTTAACAAGAATAAAATAACAAAAGGAAGAAGGAAAAATGGAAAATTACAAAATATGTCATACAATTAAGGACTTTGCCCTGTGTGGTGACTAACTTGTGGTCTTTGGTCATTCATGATAGAACATTATGCGATTCCCTGATATAGTGCATGAAAACTGATCCTCAAGACGCCAAAGATGAAACCAAACCCATATCGATATCAATATACAAGTCCCAGACGCCAGGGACCACATCTAAAAAACCAAACCTTCTGTCCTTATAGCCGAACAAAAACACCGTTCTCTTCCATAAGAACGACTTCTATTGGCCTAATATACCTTTGTGCAAAGAAAAATCTAACTCTGTCTTTGTAATCCGCTCCGGAAGGGAGAGAAAAAGAACCACGAGCGTTGTCGAGTCATCAACTCTTGCGGCCGTATGACTTGTGACCAGCGATTTGTAGATCATCTCACCATTTCAAGTGATAACTTTATAACGGAAACCACGTAATGTGCATTGGGTAAGAGGTGAGGCCGTTGATACCAGAGCCTCGTCGTTATGAGTTAGACGTCCGCAGTACGAGGAGCATTGACATCCGTCTCCTCTGCCAAGGGCACTCACGTTGTGTGGACTTTGACGCAGTTTCCTCTGTAAGGATTGACATGGGCTTGAATGGATGGCCTGTAGCGGATCGACAACTTCCGATTGCTTTTGTTTATCTGGTTTCGCCCCAGTCCTGCATTTTGACGTTCATACCCGGTACCTCATAAGTGGGTTGTTGTAAGGCAGCCGCCTGGACAGCCGACTGAGAAGGTTGCGGAGGACCCGTTCCAGAACGACGTCTCCGTTCTCTTTCAAGGGGCCCAGGAAGCTCGGTGCTCTCGCCGCGGGCACGGAATCGCCGCCCAATTGTATCCATCCAGTTACCATCCTCATCCTCACCTAACCAATAATTGCGACCAACACTAATCATAGCACGACCAAGCTTTCCCTTCCAGCCTTGACCATCAGGAGTGAACGGCGAGAACGGCTCCTTATCGATATCGGCGACGCTGGCCACACTAGCAATGGATGTGTTCCGGCTATGAGTCGGGAGCTGAGTGTGACGAGGCACAGCAATATAAAGGCGCAGAGACTGGCGAGCGAATGCCAGCATGACAAGAACAAAGTATGTGCGGATGATCCATAGCGAGCAGATGAAGACAATGCTTTGGAAACTTTCCGGTTGGGTAACCGCGTTGCTTAGGCCATCGGAACTTCTGGCATACTGGGCGCTATGGGTAGATGACGAATCGTACTGCGGGCTGGTGAATCCGGCAGTCTGTGCAATCGTCTCACTACCGGGTCCGGAGGTAGTCTCATAATGTTGAGAGATGACAAGGAACCATGTTACACCAAAAGCAGCGGTATATGCAGCGTTTATGACGCTATCGAAGAGGTAGAGCCAGGCAAGAGCGAGACATTGCAGAGGAGATTGTTTCCGGATATGTGGGAAGAGCAGTGTTGCGACGCCGAGAGCGAGTAGGGAGTAAAGGTACATGGACAGCTGGACGGGTGAAAGGTGGTAGCCGGTTAGGAGCGCAAGCAATCCATAAAGGCCACTAATCTTGTTCAAGAGTAAGGACAACGTGATGAGAGAAGCGCCCGTCCGCAGGCTCATGACATAGAGGAATGTCTGTTGTACTCCGGGGGGTCATTCTTAGCACCATAGACACGGAACGGGAAGGCCTTTTATCACGAAATTTTAATTTCTGACATACCTCTGGCCGCGGGATGCGGAGAAAACGGGTTGGTGAAAACCCCATCTCTGATATCGCCGATGGGTTGCGGTGGGAGTGGCACAAGCGATGGGAGGATGCAGTAGAAAAGGGAAAACAAATGGAAGCCAATATGTTCAGAAGAGAAGAAAGGGAGAAGGCTGGAAGTCAGCAACAGTTGGGTCACGATGCCCATGTGGTATTGTCACACAGGGGCTTGATTTTCCGGACGATCCGCCCCGCCGATCGTTACTATTTTCGCCTATTGAACGCCAAGAAATGAGCGGCCCTTGGATGACGTTCGGGTACTCCGTAACATGAGTTTATGTCCAATGAATCATTCACTGCGCAAGTTTTCATTGACCTGGTTTACGGAAGATGGCTGCATGTACTTCCAGCTATTGCTTCAAGGTCAATATGAACAATTGTCTGAAATTGAATATTCCCTTCTGTGCTACTCCCTGTTGGACTTCCAAATTGTTCTTTCATGCATCGGGCTCTGTTCGCCTACTACTAGTAGGCAGTCAGCTATCCTGCATCAGACAATACGAGTACGACGTTCCCGATGCTAGCGCCAATGGCCAATTGCAGGTTGTTTAACTACTCCGTACAGAGTAGTATTATGAAGATATGCTGAATGTCTGCCTTGGCCTGTTTCTTTTCTTTTTCATCTTTCACTTTCTCCTAATTATGTTGGCTGGAATTTCTGGATGCTATGCGGTTGCGAATAGTTTGGTAAATAGTACAATATATATGTATTGTAGACGTAGTCCAAAATTTTACAAGAGCCATGACATCTTAGAACCATAACCTCAAATCTGGGTCGTTAAAGATAAAAAGGATATCGTAGGAATCTGAGGGGCAAGCAATGGGATGTTGATGCGATGTAGCAAGTAGAACGCCAGATTCTCCCACCAAGCACCACTGGCAGGCGACCGTGCCGGGAAACAGGAAAGAAAGCGAAAAAGAAAAACGGCTTCGATCTAAACACGCTATTCACTTGAAAAGCAAAGGAAGAAAAATGTACAGATTAAGAATAACAGCAATATTGACAATCTCAAACCTCATAATTGAGATCGAGGAAACAAACTGGTGAACGTAATCGAAAATGGCGACCAGGTAGTACATTACAGCATTCAGCAAGCGCATCCATCGTTGGTTGTGGTCTCTTTTGGGGTGATGTTCACATCGATCACTAAAGGTAATAGTCAGCTCTGAGGAACTTGGAAGTGACACCGAGGAAACAAACCTTGGCTCTCCCCTCTGCTACCTTCGCCTTCCATGCCTGGTAGAGCTTGGGCTATCCGCCGGAAAAGTTGCTTGACATTATGGCCAACCTTAGCGCTAGTCTCGATGAACATCAGCCCGTTTTTCTTAGCCTCCTCTTCACCCTGCGCGGTTGTGACCTCACGCTTGTCGTTAAGATCAGTTTTGTTGCCAACTAGAACAATGATAACGTCATTGCCACGCTCCCCTCGGACGTCGTCAATCCATTTACGGGTGTTCTGGAAGGACTTGGCGTTTGAAATATCGTAAACAACAACAGCAACACTCGAATCCCGGATGTAGGAAGGAATTAAAGACCGGAATCGTTCTTGGCCGGCTGTATCCCAAAGCTGGAGTCGAACAGTTCTGTCCTCTAGGTACATAGTCTGGAGAAACGAGTTAACACTGGCATGAGCGATAAAAAGTGTGTCGAAGGTGGGGTTCTAGAATCGAGAGGTTGGCTAGTTGCGGTGAGATATACCTTTGACAGAAAGTCGATTCCGATGGTCGCTTGATATGTATTATCGAATGAATCGTACATAAATCTCGTAATCAGGGACGTCTTGCCAACTACATGTCACGGTCAGAGACTTGCACAGACCATAAACTAATGGAAACCTGGCATGTGGTATACATACCGCTCTGCTCTCCCAAGAACACCAGCCTGTGAAACATTCAACAATTAATTCAGACTACAAGAAGCTTTGGTATACAAAGACATACTTGAACTTTTTCAAAGGGTTCGAATACGACCCTACAGCGGAAGTGGATGCCATTGTGACAAGAAAACTTGTTAGAAGCAATGGTAGGATCAGGGGTAGCGGAGGGAAAGTCGCAAATAATTTTTACGTAGAAGGCCTGTGGAAAGATTGCCCAAGGGTGTTTTAAGGATAGAAGGACATGAAAAGGGGGGTATTATCGGAGATCAGACGCAAGGCCGACCAGAGTTGTTCAAATGGGCGACTGGGGAGGAGTGAAGTCAACTCGAACCTATGGATCAATATGGGGAAACTGTACGGTAAGTAAATGTTATGGACTGACAAGCCAGCATTAAACTCCGACCGCCTCCCGATGACGGATTAAATCCGGCCCGATAAACCCATCATCAGCGCAAGGTGCGGGTGTCGCTCCAGATGAGTGATCCGGACAAGAGCTCCGCTCCACCGCAATCTTTCTATCGTTTGCGACTTTTGTCAGGTGTCTCAAGGCCCTGTAGCTTCTTCACTGTTTCCTCCAGCTTAAAAAATCGGGTCGAAAGTTGGAGGTCACCATGGGTCTCGTCTATCCAGCTGGTGCTGCTACCGTGTCACTCCTGGTGATCGGGGGATGTGAGTGATCTCATCCAACTGGGATAATGATGTTGTGCACTAATCAATACTTATAGATATGCTTTTTCACGGAGATGGCGAACAATTTAATGTATTCAAAGACACTTTAATGTTACATATCTTTTATAGGGTGCCTTGTTAACACGTCCTAGGTTGGTCAATTTCTCGAATCGGTATCTCCATATGCTTGGGCAAACATCGGTATCGCAATGTGCATAGGTTTATCAGTCGTTGGAGCAGCGTGGTACGTCCTAATACGGAGCTATGTTTTCTATTATATCATTACTTATGGCATGACTGTCCAGGGGTATCTTCCTTACAGGTTCATCGATTGTCGGCGGAGGTGTTAAGGCACCAAGAATTCGGACGAAGAACTTGATCTCCATTATCTTCTGCGAAGTAGTAGCTATTTATGGTGTCATCATGGCAATCGTTTTCTCTTCGAAACTCAACCTCGTCGGCGATGATGAAATCTTCTCGGGCAGCAACCAATATACCGGATACGCACTCTTTTGGGGTGGTATCACTGTGGGAATGTGCAATTTGATCTGTGGTATCTCTGTCGGTATCAATGGAAGCAGTGCAGCTCTAGCCGATGCTGCTGATGGAAGCCTGTTCGTCCGCCCCATACGTAATTCTATCGGAACAGCAAGTGAGCTAACATCTTTTGCAGGTTTGTGAAGATCCTTGTTATCGAGATCTTCAGCTCCGTCCTTGGCTTATTCGGCCTTATTATCGGGCTTCTGGTGACCCAGAAAGCTAACGAATTCAAGTAAGGCTGCTTAGTGGTTGATGAGGGGAGGTTTCTCCGAGAGAGAATCTTGCGATTCGGGGTAGGAACCATTGTATGACTTCGATGTTACAGCTTCACTTTGTTCTGGTGTTCTATTATATACTGCATTATGGCGTATGGATCCGATCTGACTGTAGAGTCTTTTGGGTATGCGTGAATAGCATTGATTGTCCCGCTGGTTTGCCATGATGTCTGGGTTGATGTACAGTAGCAGGCGCTGGGAAGTAATAGAAGTGGCGATATTATCAATACGATAGCGCATTCTTATGTATAGCACTGATTTAATTTTAAAAGGTTTTATTATGAGTCTGTAGAAATTGGCGATCGTTATATTGTTGACATTGATAAGCTTAAGCGATAGTAGATATCCGATGAAGTACTACTAGTATATATTTGGAGGGTCCGATTACCTAGTGGTTCCCCGCATCCGACAAAACTCTCCTCTTTATAATTCTCAAAATTCTAACAAGATAGCACCTAAAATGACAGACAACAAACTCAAGGCAGCGATATTGGTCGTATCGGATACTGCCTCTAAAGATCCTTCCACGGACAGAGTTGCTGACACTCTCACGTCTTTCTTCTCAACGGAGGGGTCAAATACTTGGGATCGACCGGCCACTAAGATCGTACCTGATAATGTACTCGACATCCAACGAGCCATTTGTGACTGGACAGATGGCCCAAATTGGGTGAATCTCATCCTTTTGAGTGGCGGTACGGGCTTTGCGGTTAAGGATAACACCCCTGAGGTTCGTTGAACCTGCTCCAGAGTTACTCTGCTTTGCTAAAATCGTTGATTAGGCTGTCTCGCCTCTGATTCATCGCCATGCACCTGGCCTAGTGTGAGTTCGTTATCTATCTTTCAGACTTGAATACAAGGTGATTACTGACCGTAAAACATTAAGTCACGGCATGATTGCCGCTTCTTTGCAAGTCACGCCTTGTAAGCTGATGTACACATAACTTATTACTCGAGGGCTCGCTAACAATCATTGTAGTTGCAATGATGTCTCGGCCTGTCGCGGGCGTTAGGGACAAAACATTGGTTATTACTTTGCCTGGCTCGCCAAAAGGGGCCAAAGAGAACCTCGACGCGGTCTTCAAGCTTTTGCCGCATGCATGCACTCAAGCGGCTGGTGCTAACTCTCGAGCCATCCATGCCGGCGGTGTCAAGAAACTAGAAACTGAAGCAGGGTTGTCCTCGGGAAGCAGAGTAGAACCTAATCGCGACCATCACCATCACCACCATCATCATTCTCATTCTCACGGTCATGGACATGGCCATGTTGCCCCCAAGGCACATACGTCTCAATCAGAGAGACCGCAATCAAATGACCCCAGTGCAGGCCCGAATCGACGATATCGCGAATCCCCGTACCCAATGCTATCAGTGGATGAAGCACTCGGTGTGATTAGCCAACAAACTCCTGATCCAGTGGTTGTTGAAGTTCCTGTAACCACTGCCTTAGTCGGGTCGGTCATTGCCGAGGATGTCTATGCTGCAGAAGCTGTTCCAGCGTACCGAGCTAGCACAGTAGATGGGTACGCCGTGATTGCACCTGAAGCGGCAGATGTTGGACCAAGCACCAAGGGGGTATTCCCCGTGGCGTCTATTTCTTACGCCAACCCAGGAGGGTCACTGTCCCCCCTGGAGCCCGGAACTATCGCCAGAATAACCACAGGGGCTCCTCTTCCACCAAATTCCAACGCTGTAGTAATGGTTGAGGATACAGTGCTCGCTTCTTCAACCCCTGATGGCAAAGAGGAAGCAACGGTAGAGATATTGACTGGTGATATTAAACCCAACGAGAATGTTCGTGAGCCCGGTAGTGATGTTGCGCTGGGATCAAAAATCCTCCAGAAAGGAGACCTTATTACGCCAGTCGGAGGCGAAATCGGTCTTCTAGCAGCATCTGGAACAAAAACAGTTAAAGTCTTTAAGAAGCCATGTGTGGGTGTTCTAAGTACTGGAGATGAGCTCGTTGAGCATGACGATCCGAGAAAGCTCCATGGAGGGCAAATTCGAGACTCTAACCGTCCATCTCTTCTCTCGTGCCTTGCCTCTTGGGGCTTCCCCACCGTCGATCTAGGAATTGCCCGTGATACACCAGCAGGTGAGCTGGAACGGAGCCTTCGGGATGCCCTTCGCGGAGTGGGGAGGGCAAGTTCTAGTGTAGACGTGATTATCACCACTGGCGGCGTATCAATGGGTGAGCTCGACCTGCTAAAACCCACTATCGAACGTACACTAGGCGGGACTATCCATTTTGGCCGCGTGTCTATGAAACCAGGCAAGCCGACCACATTCGCCACGGTCCCGTTTAAACCAACATTGTCAACTCAACAAACCCAGCAAGAGCGTGAGACTAAGCTTATTTTCTCATTACCTGGAAACCCTGCGTCGGCCCTCGTGACACTTAATCTATTCGTACTCCCATCCCTTTACAAGCTAATGGGCATGGGCGAAAAGCAAACTGCGCCCGGCGTATCTTCAACACTTGGATTACCACTTGTTTCAGTCAGCTTGACACATGCCTTCCCGTTGGATCCCAAGCGTACCGAGTACCATCGGGCCATTGTGACGGCATCACTTTCTGACGGCCGATTGTACGCCTCTAGCACAGGTTTAGGGGGAGTTGGGCAGCGGAGCTCTAGGGTTGGAAGTCTAGCGAGCGCAAACGCGCTCTTAGTGCTTCGACCAGGAAGTGGACAGATTGAAAAGGGTATCTTGGTAGAGGCATTGATGCTGGGTCCGGTCGTAACAGCGCAATAAATGTTGTTCTATAATAACATATTATCCCACTATCACAAGATATCATCTCCCAGCTACCAGCTAATTCATGGCATCCCGAGTTAATTCCAAGAAATGTAATCTCAAATATTATTACACCATCGCTTTTCAGTTCAAAGGACCTTTGAAGCAATGCTTAATGAAAGTTAGACTCCAAAAGCACGATCTCATGGAACCCCTTCACAACCGTTCGGCCACCCGCCTCAACCGATATCCGTTAGGATCAAGCATGTTGCAGTACTCATCGTAATCTATAACAGATCGAAACATCCAGTTCATCCTGGTCTCCCTTGCAGCCAAGCCCCATAACCTAGCCAAACTCCTCTGATCATGCAAATATTGCGGAGGAAGGCCTGGAGGAACCATATCCCAATCCGGAGGCGAACGGCTCCCAAAATTAATGCCAGTGATGATCGCTCCCTTCTCCGGGCAAGCCAACCTCATCATACGCTTCGCAACGTGTAGTTGTGTATCCCAGTTAAACAAATGCATGAAATAGCCGGAATTGATCAGTTTGACGCGGCTAGCCAAGTTATCAAGTTGCGGGGTATCCTCGAAGAAATCTTGAACTATAAACGTGCTCTCTAGACTGAATCTATCGTTGAACAACTCGAAGCCGAGGTTGATAAATTCTTCTGCCGAGTCCAATCCGATCAGATTCGTCGATGACGTGCCATCTTGTACTAAACGTCGCATGTCTTGTCCCAGACCGCAACGTATGTCTAGGAAGAGGTTTCCCGCTTGAATTTGAGATAGGATCTGCTTGTATAAGTAAGAACGGGATAGGTCGGATTGCACAAATAGAAAGTGTTGAAAACAGGGTATTTTGAGATGGTCCAGGCTTGGTGGGCCTATTGTCGTCAGGAATTATGCTGGTTTGTCTTTGGCTATGGACAAAATACAAACAATGCTTTTGACATGTTTTTCTGCTCTTTTAGGATCTAGGTTGGCATATTTTTTGAACAGTTTTCCTCCATCACCGTTGAGGTGATGGGATAGGTCGATGTTCTCGTTCCATACAGAGAAAGGTTCGGATTGGTGGGCTATTATTGTTTATCGAGGAATGGAAGCGTATGATGGGAATATGAATAGCTCTAATAACAGCAAATAAAACGCCTATACCTTATGATCTGGCAAAGGAAGAGTTAACGTTGCAGGACTTATATGGAGCATTATTTAGAGTTTAGAAAGCAGGTTTTCCATAAATTTGCCACGGCAGTGTTTATTATTGGATATGCCCTAGGTGCTCATGATGTTCTAGAAAACAATAATCTCTCCATTTGGCACCAAGTTTTCAACTTGATACCACCTGCATATCCTTGCGGTAGAACCTGTCCAGCTGTGTGCCTCATTATTCTTCACCTGCCCGGCTGAAGCTCTAAAACCGATAGAGACTAAATGTTGACTGATGGGGAGGAGAAACGCGTAGGAAGAAGATTGAGGCCGTCGCATTACGATGCTAATGATCTGTATACATAAGTCCCTGTCATCGGGATGCCCGTAGGGGCCTGGGACTGTTCCATGATTGTATGTATTCTTATGTCAATTTGAATGGAAGCGAAAGGTATCCAGCATAGCTTATGGCAGATCATAGCTTAACAACCGAATAGCTCCCGGAAGGTATGATGAGCACATCTTAGTAGGAAAAGAAAAAAAAAAGGAAAAAAAAACAGATCCACGTTTATCCCATGCTTCCGACCAGGATATCATACCAAATAACACCTTGACCGCTATGAACATGCGAACAGATAAAGAAGCAGCAAAATTAATACGAAGACCATCTACATTGATCAACCCTTGTGGACTTTCCAGTTCTTCTTCTTCTCAGCCCGAAACGCAGGAATTGTATGATCTTTACCTTGCTTGCGAGCGATTTCTATTACAAGGAATCGCACGAAATCCGAAAGGGTCCAGTAACTGCTATGAGCACTTAACATATTCAAGTATTGGATGTTTAAGGGTCCGCCACCACCGGAAAGGTAGTAGTCTATTTGGCCATTGTCATTGAGAAGAAGCATACGTTTTTCCGCGATCTCTTCGCGGGTGAAGTCGTGGGTTTCAAGCTCGACATTGGAGGGAAGTTTCGAAATGGCGGCAGGACGAGATGGTGCTACATTAGCGGCGGCCATTATGGATGGAGCTGAACTCCAGCGAAACACGCTACCGAATGACTTCCAGAATGATGCTGATGTGCTGGGGATAGAAGTTACTTTAAGTGAGTTGGCTAGGTCGCTGTCGACGGCGGCATTAACACGGTACGCGACTGGGTCAGTCGTGTGCATAATGTTGTAGAGGTTATCCACAGCCAAACATCCATATGTGTCTGCTTCTCCTGCCACACCACGCACTAGATCATCACCTTCGCAGCCAGGCTTCTCCCTTCCACGCCGCGGTAAAAGATTCGCCTTGTTGAGCAGTAAGAAGAATCCAGCTGGACTTCCACAAATGAATAAGTCCTTAGTGTCAAATTCGAATATGTCCCCAGGAATGCTAGTCTTGGAGAAATCAATATCGGGTACATGGGTAGGCTGATGACTGAGTATATCTAATGCCATTGCACTTCCGAGGGAATGGGCAAGTAAATGCACGCGGCCATTTTGTTGAAAACCAGGGTTGTTCTTGCACCATAGCCGAAAGATGCGGTTGGCTTCTTTGACAACTGCCTGGATCATCTTCGGCTTATGATGCGACATGTAATAAGGAATATCTAACATGACGTCACTTATCAAAGACCTAACAGCAGGTATCGTCTCCGGAGTGATGTCGTGCAGGGTGAACTTGTTGCTAATTGGATCCTCAACGCCCTGGGAGTCGAAATTGGCATCCTCTAAAGACAAAGTCGACCGCCAATTGACAGGGAGGATCATGATACCTCCATGACCCTGGCGTACATGTGGCCACACCGGCTCACTGTTCAATTCCATATTTATATTCCTGCGAAAGGCGTTAATAGCATGTGTGAAATGGAAGCTTTCCATACGTTCCGATAGCTTCTGACCTATGCCATGGATGACAAGTACTAGATCAGTCGGTGTGGGACGCATCTCTTCTATGGCACAAGCATAGCAAATCTGTCTGCCACCACTTGCTGTGGACATAGTGCGGGACTGAGTACTGCGGAGGTAGTTCCTGACATCAACAGGATTAGGTTTGGATGGATGTAGCTGGTCCCATAATCGTCGATTGAAGCCACGAACAACCGGTATGCCAATCTGCCGTCCCTTACGAATTGCACTAAGTGGCCTTCTTCCTCTCGATACTGACGGTAATAAGCTGGGTCGAAGAATCTGCGCATCTCTGCCATCAACATAAATCACACTAGAATTAATGTATTGCTTAACAGCTTCTGAATGTGTAGCTGGCCCACCAGCAGCCCGGCTCTCATCAAGAGAGGCGATAGCCGGATTAGGGGTGGCAAGTCTCTCAGGTCCGCCCGGAATAGGACTTGAAGTTTCTTGATCACGCGTTAGAGTGACTGAACTGAGACGCTTCATATCATCTTTCGGCCATAAGCTGTGTACGATTTTCATTTCGGCGTCTGCACCGTTTTCCACGCAGCTATTGAGCTCATCTTGCCATGTCTCGGACCAGGGTTTCAGATATACGTAGCCGTCCTCGAGTTTATTGGCAAGCTCTGTTTCCACGGGCAGCATGGTATTCTTGTAGAACCATGTAGCACGAAGGACACTTGAGATATCATGTAGAGGACTCCAGTATATAGGTTTCATCTATCAAGTTTAACGTTTGATTTCGAACAAAAGGGACATTGAACACAAAAGTCTTACCTTCAAATTCGGTAATTCAACTAGATGGAGCCGCGATACACCTACAGGAATCTTCAGCTGAGCTTCCTGGCTATCACTAGAATTGCTAGAGCCATCTAGAGTGCCATCTGGAACCTGTTCTTGATATACACTCGTTCTCAACCCCGACGGCTTCTGTGTGGCATGGCTAGACGTGGTGGCTTGGTGGCCAGCTCGATGCACTTGATCTCCATCTTTTGACGAAGTAGACTCAAGCGAGCGCCCAAATACGCTTTCAGATTGGCTTAGAGGGGCCCTTGCAAACGGTGAGCCACTGATTGTGCCCCCACGAGAGGGGAAACCACGCCAGCTTGTACTTTCTATGCCCTCGGAAGCTGCACCTTCGCTCTGCGGGGATCCAGCAGTCCTGCGTCTAGTCGACTTGGAATTGCCGCTCGGGGATGGCTCTCTCTTGCGATAACTGAGAATGCCCGATCTATCGCTTTCACCCATGCCGCGATCTGAAGAATGGGGAACACGAGATTTGTCTCCGGGATGCTTGACGCTTGCCTCTGGGCTGCGATATGCCTCATCACCTAGAACGCTGCCGGGAGCACTCGGGCAACTTTTATTACTCCCAGTCCAACTCTTATCTCCATGGCTTCCCGATTGCCTTTTGCAACTTGTGTCGAGAAGGAACTCCTTCCCTGGTACCGGTATTCCCGCATTTCGGACTAATGAGGAGCCCGCACGCGCATGCTTTCTCGCTGCTAGTTCGGACTTTGTAGTGCGTAGCAAAGATAGCCAGGACTCCTCCAGTGCGATATTATCTTTGACCGAGAATGGTTGAGGTGGAGCTCTTTCGTTACCCGGCCCTTGGTTGCTGGACGGCGGAGGTAAAGCCGTCAATGGATCGTCAATAGGTAATGAGGAGACGTAGAAGAACTGAGGACGAACTTTCGGTGGCTCGTCTAACGAATGCCAGGAAGAAGGATCAGGGTCATCATTTGCCAGAAGACATGTCGGGCCGTAAGTATGGATCGGCCCCGTCATTGTGGGCACTCCGTAAGATATCGAATACGCTTATTATCTGGGATCTTCAAAGGGGAAAAAATGAGCGCGGAAATAAAATCTATCAGCATAGGACTAGCATCGCTGAAACATGCAGTGATTAGCGGTCTGTAACGTTGTCTAAAACTCGCGTCAGCAAGGGAGGATCGGGATAAATGATAGCTTCTGGATAGCTTAGCGCGCGGAATAGGGAGGATAAACTATAAGAACAATAGTGAAAACGGTGAGACAAGCATCATTTGAGGTCCAGATTGTGGCCTCCTTGCAGGTAAGGGTCGACAGGCATGCATGTTTGGCCAACAGTGTCTTTTTTTTGCTCGTGGTCCGCGTCTGAGCCTATGACGTCGTCCCACGTGCCTTGGCTTCCCGCGGGAATTTGCTGGCCCAGAAAATTCAAAAACAAAAGACACGTCTGCAGTCTTGGGAGCACTACTCCCAACAGCCCCTGATTTTGTGTAGAGTAACCTTGAGGAAGAGATATCTTTGTAATTTTCTATTAAAAAGCGACTATGAGGGTGGAGCTAAGTGAACGACCGAAATCCGATAGTGTGGAGAAAGAAGAACACCCGCAAGAACAAAAGCTGAAAACAAGCTGCGACGCTCAACGGTCAATCAAAAGAAGCAAAACAGGTACAGAACTAAGCAATAATCTGGATTACATGAGTGGCTGTGAAAGTCTCTCGGTGTCTAGCTCCACGCTCCACCTAACTAGCACCAGCAAATAAACGTACCCTTGCGTGGGGCCATTGTCTCGACCTGGAACTGGGTTGTCATCACTCTCAGTCGGCATAATTGCATCTCTCGACTTAGTTCCCCATCAAGGATAGTGCTCGTATGTGCAGTTTTTGACAGACAGCTAAAGTGGCAACGGGGGCTCCCAGCATGTCGAGGAGCTGATACACATCGTGCATGTGCTTGCGGATTACACTGTCAGGAGCACAGAAGGTGCGAATACTCATCTCCTTGACGATTGCTTTCCAGTTATGGAGGTTGGAGCTGAGAAGGACTGGATTCGTCGAGCTCTCTCCATTAAATCTCAAAGACCTTTTGTTTGCTGAGATCAAGCGCTGTTGGGTGGCTTGATCGAACTGGAACTCGACGACTGATGGCCTGTTCTTAGATCCCCAGTAGTCCTTGATTCTCTTGATCGATTCTCCTGAAAGTCGACCTTCATGATATTGTTGGACGAGAAATGCATTTGCACTGACACATACCATGACCTCCAATTCTGAATACAGCATCGCTTGTATTGGAGGATTCAGTGAGATAGGAGTAGTCGATTGTGGTAGGTGATCTTCCATGCCACGGGGTTCATGAATGATTGTCAGCGAAGCCTTCGCCATGCCTTCGGTCTAATCCAACATTAGTATACGAAACAAGGTTATTTTGTTGGCGGAGAGACCCACAAATCCATCCACTATCTTCTTTCGCAGATCTTTGAGACTCTTTGATTTGTGTTTCTCACTCGACAGATACCCCAAGTCTGCTGTTCCCCCGAGCCAACCGTTTCTCCCAAAGAGCTTTTTGTGCGAAGACCGTGTCTGGCCAAGCAAGCTGTCGATGTGGTCGAGTCCGAACGACTCACGCTCACAGATGTCAATGGGTTCCTGCACGGGTGGTAAGGGTTGCTTGCAAGGATTATCATACTCTAAAACTGCAGCCTGACTGGCTATGGCCTCTGGGATTGTATTGTAGGTTGGTGTATACTCATGTCCGTCATGAACGGCCACGAGAAGTCTTTCTGCTGCGGAGCCTCCAACAGAGAATGGCTGGACATCACGTACCGGAGGAAGCGACGAGATTTCTGGGGAGTAGAGAGACTGATCAGATTCTGACCTGAGACCAATTGATCGTGAAGAGTTTGTTGATGTATCTAAAGGGGAAGTGATATCATCCATATTTGGGGACATATCCCAGAAAGATCTATATTCCTCATAGAAGGGACTAAGTTTCGCGACATCCTCATAGGTAAGCGCTTGACTGCAGCAGTTAGTATCTCAAGCCATATCGATTGGGATTTACAATTGCTTACGCTGGAATAAACATGATGGGAATCTCCGAAGATAATTTCATCGCAATCTGGACAGAATGAAGAGGATGTTGATGTCTTTTCTGCGGTAAGAAAGAGTATAGAGAATGATATGGGGTTAAATAGCCAAGGCGGAATTTTAGTACGAAGTTTGATAAGGCGAACCATATTTATTTTGAGAGCTTCGAAGATCAGTCTCTCCGCCCACTATTTACTATTATTGAAGCCTTCGCAGGCGTCGTATTATTGGCAACGGCGGGCTACTTAAGAGCTATAGTGGCTAGCTATGGAATATCCTATATTTTTTTATTGAGGGAAGCGTTCCAGTACTATTCAATAGTCCTGTATTGACAACAATAACGAGTTTCATGATAGCTGTTCTATTCACGGTCACAATAGGACCTGTTGATATTGTGTCTGTGACTGTATAATTGAGTGACTACTATTGTTGTGTTTCAAGCCACATCTATATACAACCATCCCTAACAAGAAACAAGAATACACAATCACACTAGACTTTTATATTAAGATTATGCGCGACTATCTTCTTTGCTCACTCCAACCCTGACTCATTGCTTTCCATAATGCATCGTACATCGGTTCGTGGAGAAGCATGGCCTATGTTCCAGTCCTCGTCAAAGAGTCGTTGTCATGAAGGTAAGTAAAGCGTACTTTACATTACCTCCACCCCTGGGGTAAGACCCACGCCCTCCATATTCTCATCTTCTGTGTTGTACGTCCCAATAGATGATGCTAGGAGGAAGTTACATGCCCTGCCAATTGTCCGGCCCGCTCGGCATGCCGTGAGAATTGCCGATTTGGTTTAGAGCACGGAGTACACGGGCACTAGTATTATGACATCACGGTCTTTTATTGGCCAGAACGATGTATTTTCAATTTCCGAGTAGAAAGTCGCCCCTGCCGCAGTGCTCGTTCTACTTTGATTAAGTTCTATTACAACCCTAGACAATGCCCACCGCTAAGGGGTTGTTAGAAAAGTCTAGAGAGAATTACTGAGGCTCTCTCCCACAACTATCGTATACTTTATTCCCGAAGACAACTGCGCTTGGAGTGGATAGCGAAGAGCAATACTGTTTCGCTGGTTGAGAACTTCACTTAAACAACTCGACATGCATGATACCAGAGTAGTCAAGGAAATCAAGACGGTAAAAGTGGGACTCAGAACGACTATTCTGGATCGTAAACACGGTAGTTTCGGGGGTTTACAAGTAGGCGTATACGTTAGTAGTGATTGTCGATTGAATGGTGAAAACCTGGACTACTCTCAGTCATGGGCGAATTAGTGCTCCGCATTGTAAGCGAACATATGAAGCATCAACACTCAAATCGGGTCACCAATTAGTGTTCCTGATGCATCTGCCTCCCACAATCGCCGTGCCTATCTCCATATTCCCCATTCATACTCCGTACACTGGAGCCCCATCAGTTAAATTGAAAGGCAAAAAGCATCGGCATGTTCATTGACCAATGACAGGCGGCAGAATCAGCTCAGAAATCCCGGCGATTCTGCCGATACTGCAGGTCACGTGAAAATACTCCACATGCCGACTTTCGCTTCCGCAGGACCTGCAGACTCTCGGAACGAACGACGGCACTGACCTCAGTGCTTCCCCACACGCTCAGTTGTTGTTCCCCCCAATGACATACCGCCGTTCCACATTGCTTACTAGCCCAGGACCCTCCCCTACTGCAATTCATTACCTGATACCCCAACTTAAGAAACTATCTATGGCATCTCCCGTCGATCCAACCGAACATGAATGCCGTTGTGGCTCCCCGTGGCAGGCTTCGATACTGCCCCTCGGGATCCCTACCCCAAGCTCTCATTTATAAATGAGCGCTTCACCCTTTGAGATTCACTTCTTCTCCATGTAACACTTTCACTTAGCCTCTTTCATCATTCATGCTGGTGATGCTTTGATCTTTCAGAACTGTTACCTCTTATTGTCATTTGTCGATCCTCATCCCCACAGCCGCGAATACCAAAGCAATCAAAAGCTTAATTATCGCATTTTGCCGCCAGTATGGCTCAAACCCAAGAGAAGTACGATATTGTCATCGTGGGCGCAGGCCCTGTTGGCATTCTTTTGTCCCTGTGTATGTCACGATGGGGTTATAAGGTTAAGCACATCGACAACCGCCCAGTCCCCACTGCCACAGGTCGCGCCGATGGTATCCAGCCTCGTTCCACTGAAATTCTCCGTAACCTCGGCCTGAAGCGCCAAATCATGGCCTACAAGCCCGCCAAGGTTTACGATGTCGCATTCTGGGATCCTCTCTCCGGGGAGCAAGGTATTCATCGCACTGGCAGCTGGCCTAGTTGCCCACGTTTCATCGACACCAGATATCCTTTCACAACCCTTGTTCACCAGGGAAAGATCGAGCGTGTATTTTTGGACGAGATTGAAAAGGCTGGTACTACGGTTGAGAGACCCTGGACTATTACCGGATTCAAGAATGATGGCTTGGACGAGACCTACCCCGTCGAAGTGCAGCTAAAGTGCCTTGACACCAACGTCATCGAGACCGTCCGCTCTAAGTATCTTTTCAGCGGTGAAGGAGCCCGGAGTTTTGTCAGACAGCAGCTTGGTATCCAGATCCATCACAAGGATCCTATCTCCTATGTGTGGGGTGTTATGGACGGTGTTGTGAGGACAAATTTCCCTGATATCGAGGTGAGAATTCCAATCTTCCTGGTCCAGCTGACCAAACGCTGACAAACTTTTCAAAACAGACCAAGTGCACAATCCACTCTGATGCTGGTTCGATCATGGTGATTCCCCGTGAGGACAATATGGTCCGTTTGTATGTCCAGATCGCTTCATCTTCGGATCCCGACTTCAACCCAAGAAAAACGGCGACTGCAGAGGAAGTTCAAGAAACCGCGAAGAAGATTCTGAAGCCATACTGGGTTGAATGGGATCGCGTAGAGTGGTACTCTGTCTACCCAATTGGGCAGGGTATCGCCGAGAAGTATACTCTGGACGAGCGAGTCTTCATGGGCGGAGATGCCTGCCACACTCACAGTGTATGTCAAGCCATCTTTAAAAAACACGTTTCTTCGAGCTAACCCTCCTTTAGCCCAAGCCGGCCAAGGTATGAACACTGCATTCCACGACGCTTTGAACATGGCCTGGAAGATCCATGCTGTCGAATCTGGACTCGCCGATCGCTCTACTTTGAGCACATACGAGACTGAGCGCAAAGACATTGCAGAGACTTTGTTAAATTTTGATGCGAAATACGCCGCCCTGTTCTCCAAGCGCCGTCCCACTGCTGGAGAGGTTGGCTCCGCTAGCCATGCGACTGTTGCGTCTGGCGGCGAGGAGGAGGATGAGTTTGTTAAGACCTTCAAATCATCATGCGAATTTACCAGCGGTTATGGTGTTGCCTACAAGCCGAACGTCTTCAACTGGGATGCTAGCCACCCAGCCAAGTCGTCTCTGTTCGACGTTCCTGGTGTGAGACTGACCCCAGGACGTGCTTTCACGCCCTCGACAGTTACACGACTGGCAGATGCCAACTTCGTGCATTTGGAGCAAGAGGTGCCAGCTAATGGTGCATTCCGTATCTTTATCTTCGCAGGTAAACAGGAGAAGACAAAGAAGGCCATCGCAGATCTTGCGGCAAACTTAGAGAAGGAGCGCTCGTTCCTGTCGGTCTACCGCAGATCCGATATTGCTGATGTTTCATTCTTTGAGCGTCACCAGCCCCACTCCAAGCTCTTCACCCTCTGTCTGGTATACGCTGCGCAGAAGAACCAGGTCGATATGGAGGCTGTGCCCCAGATTCTCCGCGATTATCACCACCACATCTACGCGGACGACATTCCCGACGTGAGAGTCCCTAATGCCAAGTTCGCCGCACACGAGAAACTTGGCTTTGACCCTGAGATGGGAGGTGTAGTTGTGTGCCGCCCAGATAGCCATGTTGCCTGTACCGTGCAGTTGGTGGAAGGCAGCGGCACCGCGGATGCCCTGAACGCCTACTTTAACGCTTTCTCGGCCAAGCCGTTGGGACAGGACCAACAGCAAAGTCGTCTTTGATTCGCGATGAACCTGTCTATTTTATAGCTTTTGATGTACATAGCCCCTTGGTCTTTCTGTCATATTGGTTGGGTTTGAGCACTTCTGTATGACCCGCATTCTTGGCGTTTATTGTATAAATACCTGCAATAGAAGTATTTCCTTTAGAACATAAACTTAAGCTTAGACCATAATTCCGATAATACTCTGTATTGTTAGTTGTGTAACAAGGAATGTCATTGTTATGGGAATGGTGGTGTGTGCGCGGAAGATGCCCACCGTGACTACATAAATCATTCTCTTCGCGGAAGTCATTCCCCGCACAGATCAATTATCAAGACCTTCAAGAGTGCGCTCAGCATTACCACTGTACCAACAGCCAGCCAACAAGATGCTTTCTCTAGTCCTTTCAGCTGAACTCACAGGGTAAGTGTGTTCTATATGTGGTTTCCAAATTATAGCAAGCTCCACTTTTTAATTCTGCCTCTTCTGTCTGTATTTATTTGCATAGCTTTGCCGCACCTCACAATCGCTGCCAGTATCTCACCTTAGTATAGAGTCACTGAACTTCGCCCTCAAGATACTCCTGAGAACCCCTACTACTACACTTTCAAGGTGCAATGCACGTCCTGTCGGGAAACACACCCAAACTGGGTCAGCTTCAACCGTTTTGTAAGTCCGGTCTGGCCTATCGCCTCCCCTCAACCGTTGTATCAGTTCTTAAAAATTACTTTGACTCAAGCTAAGTCTGAATCATACAGGAGCAACATGAAATCCCTGGAAGCCGCGGAGAGGCGAACTTTGTCTGGAAATGCAAGCTTTGCCAAGTCAGTTTGTTCATTCCCTAAATGCCTCGTCCTGCCTGCAGCTAACAAATGTGACCAGAAAACCCATTCCGCCTCTATCGTCGCAGGCCCAAATGTGTACGAAGCAGACGAAAAGCGCAAGGGCCGGAAAGTGATCGACATTGACTGCCGCGGCCTTGAATTTACCGATTTCAAAGCTGATGTGAGTTGCGTTTCGTCATTGCGAACGATTATGTGATTCTAATAAGTAACTAGGGCGAATGGGAGGCTAAGGGCACCGAGTCTTCCACTCCATTCATGGCCATCGACTTGTCTGAGAGCGAGTGGTATGACTATGATGAGAAAGCTGAAGATGAAGTTTCCATCAAGGAAATTACCTGGAAGGTGGGAAGAGCTTGAGAGGTCTCCTTATACTGAGGATACCGTACCATCAATGGCTATATGGTCTGCAATAGCATTCTGACTTGTCTAATTATCATTTCTCTTTAAAATGCCTGGGCGATCGTGACTGGAAATATCTAGTAGTATCTTCATGCTATCCCTTCTGCAGTGCGATATTTTCGGACAACATGAGGAAAGTCACGCAATGATAGATACCGGCCGCAAGTGCCATATACAAGGAACCAGGAAGGATCAATAAATGGCAATATTGAGGAGTACAATTTTTACTGAAACTTGATGTACAAACTTAGTAGTACTAACTTAGCCTTTTGTTCTTGTATAAAGGCGGTGACTGGAGGCATAATATCATTGGCTGCTTCAAGACCGGCAATATTGCATTTTTGGCTGACAAGGAACCTTCAATTCGCTGGGCGAGAGTTGGCGACCGCGATAATCCTTTTACTAGCTCAACACGCGACCAGCACAAACAGCACCTCGGCGCTGGAACAAGTTTTTGATTTAGCTGGTTGTTTATTATTTTACCGAATCGACACGGTATTATCAAACGGGTTACGCTATCTTTAGAACTGTTCAGTCGCGGACCCCGATCAGACAACCATAACCATGAGTGTCAGTATCTAGTACTTGCTCTTTTGCAATTCAGGTCCAGCAGGGCTTCTTAACACAGGGTCTTTAGCTTATGCTGACTTCGTTTGTAGTTCCAACCAGTCAACCCCCGCCCTTTCTTGCAGACAAGGTACGCATTACTATCAACCCATCGCGCTTTGTCGATCGCATTGAGCCTTTCTTCCGCCTAAACCAGACCCCGCGAGCATTGTATATCTAACATATGTGTTATAGGGTCGGTACGGAGATGGTTATTCGTCTCAAGTGGGGTCAAACCGAGTACAAGGGCAAGCTGGAGAGCATCGACTCGTACATGAACGTGCTATTGCGGGACACGGAAGAGTTCATTGATGGAAAGAACACAGGAACTCTTGGCCTTGTGCTTATTCGGTATGCTTATTGCTCTTGCATGGCTGAAATCTGGCGGATGGGTAGTTCTCCGCTTGAGGACCGATCTTGCTTTCGTTTCAATTCACAATGATAAAGAAACTTTCGCTGACCTTCGACTTCATACAGGTGTAACAACATTCTCTGGATGGGATCGGCAGACAACGTCGAGATGACGGACCTGGGGCTGCGGTAGAGAAAGGTTCGACCGGGCGTCGTTTACGAAACACCAGGCGAGAACGAAATGCATCCACCAGCTTGTGTCTCCTTGGGAAAGATACGTCGGTGGACGAAAGAGAATTGTCAAATGAGCTTTGGGAACTGGCTATCACAGGCTCTGTCTATCTTCTTGTTTCTGGCACGAGGCGTTTTCAATGATGGCTTCTAAATACAATATTTTTGGGTGACATGGCAATTCAATCTGCAAACGACGAAGAGCCTTGAATTTGCGATCTAAGGAACAAGAAAAAAGCCCTCTTTATCGCTGGCGCTCGATCGTCGAATAATGGCAATGTCGTGCTGTTTACGAAGCATGCGAAAATAAAATGTCTTAATGTGTTGAAGTATATAACCACTTAGACCAACCAAATTAAAGAAAGAGTGGAAACCAAGCCAAAGTTTTTTTGGGGATACATTGACTGTACGGAGACAATAAGTAATTCTGCTCATGGGCAGTGCTATCGTGATTATGCCGGGCGAATGAAATTACCCCACCTCATAGAAGTCCCCATGGCTCATTGTCCGTCCTTCTGCCGAACAACATCTGACGGAAGGGATACCGACACCTTTTTATTTGGTTGATTTAGTGCTTAATCAATCACTGATGATGAGCATCCATAGTCAAAATACAGATGGTTACTACAATCTGGGGTCGTTCCACCGGCCGGTGGCCACCGCCAGCCCCGAGGCTCAGACCTGGTTTGATCGAGGACTCATCTGGACATATGCTTTCAACCATGAGGAGGCAGTTCACTGTTTCGAAAAAGCCATCGAGTATGACCCCGCTTGTGCCATGGCGTACTGGGGGCTTGCGTATGCCCTAGGCCCTAACTACAACAAGCCATGGCAATTCTTCGATCAGGGGGAATTGGAAAGGACAGTCCAGCGCACTCATGGAGCAGCTGAAGATGCCAGAAAGCACGGGATTACGGCGAGGCCCGTAGAATCGGCACTTATCGAAGCTGTCCAGAATCGATACCCGCAGGATCAGCCATTAGGAGACTGCTCGTCTTGGAACCAGGGATACGCCGATGCTATGGCATCTGTGTATCAAAGATTCCCAGATGATCTAGACGTCGCAACATTGTACGCAGATTCGTTGATGAACTTGACGCCATGGGAGCTGTGGGTTTTGCAGACGGGCCAGCCGGCACCAACCGCACGTACCCTTGAGATCAAGACGGTGCTTGAGCGAGCATTAACACAGGACGGAGCTCTCCGTCACCCTGGCCTGCTGCACATGTACATCCATCTGATGGAGATGTCGGGCGCACCCGAAACGGCTCTTCTGGCTGCGGACAACCTACGTGGATTGGTGCCTGATGCAGGCCATCTCAATCACATGCCTACACATTTGGATATTCTATGTGGTGATTATCGGAAGGCAATTGCATCCAACTCTGAAGCGATCCGGGCCGATGAGAAGTTCCTTGCTCGCGCAGGAGCTGTTAACTTCTATACCCTTTATCGGTCTCATGACTATCATTTCAGAATATATGCTGCTATGTTCGCGGGGCAGTCAAGGATTGCCCTGGATACTGCCGAGGAGCTGGAATCATCCATCCCAGATGAGCTTATACGTCGCGAGTCACCACCTATGGCTGATTGGCTTGAAGGGTTTTTGGCAATGAAGGTACATGTCTTGATTCGGTTCGGTCGGTGGCAGGATATCATGCAACTTGACGTTCCACGAGACGAGAAGCTGTATTGTGTGACAACCGCAATGATCCACTACGGAAAAGGCGTTGCGTTCGCTGCAACGGGGCAGGTCGACCAAGCAGATAAGCAGCGAGAGCTCTTCCATAAAGCCTTAAAGCGTGTTGTATCTACCCGCATGCTGTTCAACAACAAATGCATTGACATACTAGCCATTGCAGAGGCAATGCTTGATGGAGAACTGGAGTACCGCCAGGGCAACTATGATGCTGCCTTTAGTCACCTAAGACGATCCATCTCTCTAGATGATGGTCTTCCTTACGATGAACCATGGGGGTGGATGCAGCCAACTCGGCATGCTTATGGTGCTCTTCTACTCGAGCAAGGGCGGGTTGAAGAAGCGTCGGCAGTGTATAGTGCTGATCTGGGCCTAGATGACACCTTACCTCGTGCACTACAACATCCGAACAACGTGTGGTCGCTGCACGGGTATCATGAATGCCTGATAAAGCTTGGGCGAATTACCGAGGCACGCATTATCAAACAGCAATTGAAGCTTGCAGCAGCTACAGCTGATGTCCCAATCCAATCGTCATGTTATTGTCGCCGAATTGATACTGATCAGAACTATAATTTTGGTCCTTCGCCATAGTAGCTTGACCTATCGTTCTAACCTTTGTAATTATTCTCAAATTATGTTGACGATCCCACTTGAAATTCAAACTTTTCATCACTACTTTCACTTTGTAGCTTACCGACTTTATCTCTTCACTTTCTTCCACAATGTTGCTACAAAACCATACCTGATCTTTAACCTATGCTCTTGAATCTCATATTAATCACTGTGAATAGACTGCGATTGGTGAGGCTAAGCCTTTCGAATGACAAAGGTGGTTTTTTTTTCTTTTTCTTTCTTCTTTTTCTTTCTTCTTTTTCTTTCTTCTTTTTCTTTTCTTTTCTATTTCTTCTTCTTT